GACCCGTGAGAGAGCCGCTAAGCTGGAGATAGGCTGCCTGTTTGAGAACAGTGCAGAGGCCAAGTTTTTTTTTTTGGCGATCCGTGAGAGAGCCACTAAACTGGAGATAGGCTGCGTGTTTGAGAACAGTGCAGAGGCCAAGTTTTTTGGCCACCCGTGAGAAAGCCGCTAAACTGGAGATAGACTGTCTGTTTGAGAACAGTGCAGAGGCTAAGTTTTTTTTTGGCGATCCTTGAGAGAGCCGCTAAACTGGAGATAGGTTGCCTGTTTGAGAACAGCGCAGAGGCCAAGTTTTTTTTTTTTGGCGATTCGTGAGAGAACCGCTAAACTGGAGATAGGCTGCCTGTTTGAGAACAGTGCAGAGGCCAAGTTTTTTGGCCACCCGTAAGAGAGCTGCTAAACTGGAGATAGATTGTCTGTTTGAGAACAGTGCAGAGACTAAGTTTTTTTTTTTGGCGATCCCTGAGAGAGCCGCTAAACTGGAGATATGCTGCCTGTTTGAGAATAGCGCAGAGGCCAAGTTTTTTTTTTTTTGGCGATCCGTGAGAGAACCGCTAAACTGGAGATAGGCTGCCTGTTTGAGAACAGTGCAGAGGCAGGTCAAGTTTCTGGTGATCTGTGAGATGATTCACCTTGCCTAAACTTGTTGATTTCCTCAGCATTCATATATCTTTGAGCTTTTGTGAATAGTTCTGGCATGCTCTTCGGTGGGCGCTTCAGAACTGAGAAAAGGAAACTTGATGAACGGAGGCCACCCAAGAAGGCGGTCATCGTCACCTTGTCGTCAGGTTCATCAACTTGGAGTACCTCCTCGTTAAAACGAGTGAGGTAACTCCTCAGGCTCTCCTCGCGGTCCTGCTTTATACTAAGCAGGTGCGTAACTGGCTTCTGGTGGCGACGCCCTCCTATGAAGTGTGAGACGAATGATCTGCTAAGCTCGGCAAAAGAGGTAATAGAGGCGGGGGAGAGCTTAGCAAACCACTGTCGGGCAGACCCCTTTAATGTGGTTGGGAATGCCCTGCACATGATTTCGTCTGGTACGTTGTGCAATTGCATCAAGGTCTTGTAAGTGTCGAGGTGGTCCAGTGGATCCTTTGTTCCATCAAAGGTCTCCACAGATGGCATTTTGAACTTCTGAGGGAGGGGGTAGTTTGCTACATCAGGTTTGAAAGGGGTATCAGTACGCCTTACCAGGTGGTCAACAGTCTCGGGTCCTTGTGCCTTCATGGCGTTGAAGACATCACCGAGTTGATTCTGTACCTCCTTTATCTTCTCGTCCCAATGATTGGGGGCTCCTCTGGAATGATCATGGAAGTGGCTTCCATGCCCCATGCTTTGGTTTTCACCCTCATCCTCCTGGAGATAAGGGTCCTCTCCCTGGAAAGCAAGGGGAGGGGGAGGTGCAGCTCCCTCATGTTGGGCTTCCTGAAGTGGGGTGCCCAATGGGGCACCCGGGCGTGGAGCAACAGGGCGTGGTGCTCCTTGATGTCCAGGATGTGGAGCTCCTTGGGGTGCTCTATGTTGTGCACCTCCGTGGGGCCCTCCATGTTGTGCACCTCCGTGTGGTGCTCCACGTTGTGCACCTCCGTGTGGTGCTCCACCTTGGGGTCCTCCATGTTGTGCACCTCCGTGTGGTGCTCCTCCTTGTCCAGCAAGTATGAGTTGCAGTAACTGTTGGTTTTGAGCAACCAGTTGCTGCATGGTCTCCAATATTTGTTGGGGATTCGGGGCTAGAGTATCCGGAACAGGGTTGATAGGCGGGGGAGCAACCTCCTCCTCTCGTGGAGGATTGTCTTCGTGTTGGTTCATAGATCGAGTAGTGATCGCCATTAGTTAATGGATGTAATGTTCAAGGGTGAGAATTTTGTCGAATTCCCACAGACGGCGCCAAACTAATGATGCACAAAAATGGTTTTGCACACCACCTGTCAAGTGTAGATAATAAATGCAATGAAATCAATGAAAAAATTAAGAAGACACAATCTATAGTGGTTCGGTCAATTCGACCTACGTCCACTCTTCAATGGCTTCAGTTGCCGGGTATTTTATTGATTCAAAGGTAT